TCTGAACTGTCCAAGCTAAGGGAACTCAGGTCTGTCCACTCTCCACCCTAAAATCCAGTTAGGAGCCTGACTGGGCTCTCTGCCTGACCCTTCTAGATCCCTAGCCAGGCATGCTCCTGCTGATCCAGTGCTGGGAGGTGATCCCCGAGCAGACCTCAATCATTTTTAAAATGTAGCCCTAGTTGTGGGGAAGTTGTGCTCTGGCCCAGCTTCCCTTGGAGCTGGCTCCCCTGGGTCACAGAGGGATGTCACTGTGCCTGGCCACCTTGGCAGCTGCGAACCAGAAATGCAGCTTTCCCCACCGGTTCCTGTGGAGAGAAGGGGCTTTTGCCTGCCCAGCACAGGGTGAAGCATTCTCTGCTCCATTTTCCTCTGATGCTATTGGATCGAGCAGCCCCCAACAAGCCAAGCCTTAGGCTTTGTCCTTTCTCCTAGTTCTGACACACACGAAAGGGAAAGGTTTCTGTTGCAGATCCCGGAAGGTTTTCTCTAGCAGATGATCTTGTAGGGCCATCCTTTGCCAATACACTAAAAGAGACAAACCCTCACCCTGACTGTGTGTTATGTGTGTGCTCCCAACTCCACTTGGGAAGCCTGCGCTCCAAGGCTGTGGCGCTGGGCACTGGGACAGTCGGAATGGTGTCATGCTCCCAGGGGCCCTGAGCCAAGCTGTGCCTTAAAGGGCTGGTCTCCATGGTTGTTCTTGCAAGGTTTCTGCAGGCCCTGCACTGTCAACGGCACAGTCTCAGACCCTGGACTCAAAACCTTTCAAAATCAGGTGTTTCTCTCCCCAGCTCTACCCTGGCAGCATTTTGCAGCCACAGTGTGGCCTTCAGCAGTGCAGCACCGAGAGAGACCATCTCTTTAAGGGCGTTGATGATAAAGCTGGCAGCCTCTCCCTGGCTGGCTGAGCCTGAGCGGAACACAGGGGTCTGTTTGATTAAATTCCGTTCTTTCAGGATCTCAGCCTGGAGTCTGGTTTCCCTCCCTCAGCTGCTGCTGAGTGCTGGGAGTGGAGCAACTGCAGCCCCCCGGCCTGGGCAGGCCCCTGCCAGGGATGTGTTGCCAGTGCTGCTGCCAGGCAGGCTGAACCACACCTGGAGTTCACGCTCCAAAGTACTAATCCTGCATGGCCTTAATCTTACCCCATGTATGGGACTAACCGTGACTGGAGAAAAGGCTTCCAGTTAACTGTGGGGAAGGGAAGTCTCCCTGAGAGAAGCTTATCTCAGCATTCTTGCATGCCTGTGGCTGACAAATGTGTTACAAGACATGCCCTGTGCTGGTTTTCCTCACATAACAGGAAGCCTGTAACTGCTACCGACTGGGAAGAACGAGTAAATCCAAAGCTAATAACTCCTTCCTCATGGGGCAGCTAAACTTGACGAACTCCTTGCTACATTGCAGGGCAGGAACATAAATTATTATCAAATCATTCTGCTCGTTTCCTTTTCCACTGCTGCATGTGTGTTTGTGTGTGTATGCAGTGTATATGTGTATATATATATACATATATATTTATGTATATATATAAATATATATATACATGTACAGACATACGAGCTCTCTCCCAGCCGTCTTTCCATGCAAAGAGGCACATCATACAGCTGCTGGGTACATGGAGACTGGCACCACTGGGTCTGTTACCACTAGAAGGGAGCAAGCAGTGGAACATGGTTACATGCGAGGGATGCTCTGGAGAGGGGCTTTTGGAGTTTGCTCTGCTTCCTTCCCAAGCTCCTCACATGTCTGCCGTGCACCAGGATGACCCACGAGTCTCGGCTGATCCCAGGCATCTGGTCAAAGACCCCAGTCCCAAGGTCACCCACAGCTTTTTGGAATAGAGGGCTGTGAGGATGTCCCAGCAGGCACCTCCTGGGCATCTGCTTCTCTCGCAACTCAACTAGGAAAGGAGCATCCAGGGATTTGTGCGTTGAGTGCTGGAGCATGTGTGTGCTGGAAGCCTGGAAGGGCCTGCTGGGGAGGGGACGTGGCTGTGCGTGGAGCTGACCCTGTGCCCGCTCTCTCCGCAGTGCTGGCGTGCGGCCGCCCCCAGGCCACCGCGGTGTACAAGGTGTCCGAGTACGCCCGCAGGTTCGGCGTCCCCGTCATCGCCGATGGAGGCATCCAGACGGTTGGGCACATCGCCAAGGCCCTGGCACTCGGGGCATCCACAGGTGAGCACCACTGCAGGGAGTGCCCTAGGAAGTGTTTCCATATGGGTGCAAGGGTGTTTACCTGCAGGTGTCTGGGGGCACAGGGGGTGCAGCCAGTGCTGTGCCCAGAGGGCCTGAGGGTTTCCTGGCCGCTCCTGCTGACGTGCTGTCCCTGGTGATCTCTTGTGCCAGTGATGATGGGATCTCTCCTGGCTGCCACCACGGAGGCCCCAGGCGAGTATTTCTTCTCGGATGGAATCAGGCTGAAGAAATACCGTGGCATGGGCTCGCTAGATGCCATGGACAAGAACTTGGGCAGCCAGAACCGATATTTCAGGTCAGAGATGGTGCTTTGGGGCAACAGGTCAAGCTTTTGGGGCTTCTCTGCTTCACAAACATCCTTGATTTGTGCTCCCATGCAGTGAGACAGACAAAATCAAAGTGGCCCAGGGGGTCTCTGGCGCAGTGCAAGACAAGGGCTCTATCCACAAATTCATTCCATACCTGATAGCTGGGATCCAGCATTCCTGCCAGGATATTGGTGCCAAGAGCCTGACCCAAGTCCGGTGAGTGCTTCCCTGTGCCTGTGCTCTCATTAGGTCACAGTGCTGCCATCTGGAGTCCCCAAGCAGCTCTACCCACACTGCTGTGTTCTGGGTGGTTTGACCTTGCTGTAGCCCTCTTCCCTCATCTCCAGTGGGCACTGTGTCATGGATTTGCCAGCCCCAGAGGTGCAGGAGTGTAGTCTCTTGTGGCATATTCGGCTGGCCAAGCTTGAAATGGTGGGTTATTGTACCCTGCCTGGCTCTTGGGAGCACAGCAAAGACCATTTTGGCTGCAGCTGGAGAAACCAGTGACCCTGTCCCAGCTGCTCCAGCTGAGCATGTGCCAGAGCACTGTCTTCCCTGGACTCTGCCTGGCCTGTGACAGCTGTCCTTCCCCCTTAGAGCCATGATGTACTCGGGAGAGCTGAAGTTTGAGAAGAGGACGACGTCTGCCCAGGTGGAAGGAGGGGTGCATGGCCTTCACTCGTAAGTGCTTTTGGCAGGACCCGTGTACCACTGGAGTTTTTGGGGGGTTTAGGCACAGCCATCCTGTGCCTCAGCTGATGTGCCTTTGGCTTGGTGTGCCGCTGGCTTCCCTGTGCAGCCCAGCTGATCCACAGCCTGTTGTCTGGCCTGGGCACCTGCCCAACCCTCTCATAGTGTCAGGGTGCAGGGGCTGTTCCCCACTGTGGGCTGGCAGGAGCTGTTTCTTACTGTGCCTTTGGTCTGTGCCCTGCATTAGGTGGGTCAGTAAAAGCGCTCTTTGACGTGCTGCTCCCCTCACAGGTACGAGAAGCGCCTCTTCTGAAGGAGATCCGTCTGTGTCTGTCCTTGCGCCACTCAGCCCTGCGCCGCCCCATGCGGGAGCTGCTCTTGCTGCAGAAGTGCCATTACTCTGGGCTGCCTGGAGCTCCCACTGTCCCTTGGCTGCTTTTTGACCACCTATGGGGCCCACCCACCACCCAGGAGCTGTGATCCTGGGCTGGAGCCTTGCACACGTTTGCCATGTTTTACAATAAAAGAGGAAAAGATGTGGAGTTGGTGTCAGCCCAGAGCCCCTCTTCCTTCATTATGTCCCTTGGTCTCCTTCCTAGGCTCTATGCTTCCAGCAGCCTCAGGAGCAGCTGATGACCCCAGAAGGGACACTGTGTGCATGTGAATGGGAACAGGGAGGGGACAGCCCTGAGACAGGGCTAAGTGGATAACACAGTGTGGGTCTTTAAAAATCCTTCCTGAGAGCAGAAAGCAAGTGGCTGCTGGGCAAGAAAGCAAATGATTTTACAGAGCTGTTAGCTCCTCCTGGGAGCTGCCAAACCCAGCTGTGGCAGCAGCCAGGGTGCTGCAGGACCCCATTCCCAGTCCAGCTGCTGCAATGATAAGCACTTGGGTGCTTGTGTATGTGTGTGCACACCCACTCACACAGCCCTGCCTCTGCACTGCAGGTGCCTGCACACACCAGGCCCTTAGACCTTTGTTTTCCCATGCCTGGTCCTCTCACATGCACCCTTTGTTTCTTCCCCTAAACCTCCCAAAGTTCCCCCCCTGCAGCCACAGCAGCTGCACCCCCTGGGCTGGTCAGTGCAGGTGGTGCAACCACCTGCCCAGGTTCCATGAACTGTTTTTGCCATAAGATGGGCAATGTACTTGGAAGGGCACAGGCTTATAAAGGAGCTGCGTTTCTGCAGGTCTGAGCAGTGCAAACTTCCCTGGCTTGGCAGGTTACTTGTGCTTGCAGCACCAGGTGACAGTGCAAGGTAGGGGGACAGGACAGTGACCCTCTTCATGTCCCCTGCTTGAGCTGAGCATCATAGGAGAGGGGATGCAGCACCTCTGGACTGACAGCAGCCTGAGGCTGCACAAGAGACATGAGCACTGTGGGGTGGTACAAAGCCCCATGGGAGAGCCCAGACACCGGCTGGGACACAGCAGCTGCTGATGGTGGCTGTGCTCAGGGAGCTGCTGGCATGTGGCACCACTGGCACCACGCACTACCCCAGTGCCCGGGGTGAGCACGTGCCCCATTAGCATGTTACAGCCTCGTTGTGCTGTGCATTAACCACCACACAATTCCTTGTATTTCCCATTTACATGTATTTATCTTGTGGAGCCCCAGATGTGCCCGGGGGGTGTGCAGCTCACACCAACAGCCTCCACCCTGCCTCGCGGCAGGGCTTCTTGCTGCCAAGGCATGGGACATGACCCTGGCAAGGCTGTGGGAGTGGTGCTGTCAGTAAAGCCATGTGCTGTGCCCTGCAGCCCCAGCCCAGACTGGGCAGGGAGGCCGAGAAGCCGGGACTGCAGGCCAGAACCAAGCCCACCCATCTCACAGCCCTCCTGTGTGCAGAGCCACCACCCACCCAGTAGCTCCACAGTCCAGTCTGAAGCACGTCTCCCTGGGGAGCGGTGACCCTCGGGGGCTTCAGGCAGGCAGGGGCAGCCCCACAGAGCCCACAGCCGTGGCAGGCAGTGCCTACATCCCCTGGTAGGTGCCCTGTGGAGGGATGAGCCCAGCAGCCACAATACGCTTTTCACTCACTAGGAAGTTGAAGGTTGCACATGCATTTGGCTGTGAATAGAAAAGGGAGTGAGTGAAGCTCCAGCGCTCAGGAAAGAGACGCAGCTCTTCCCCACAGGGCACACGACCCCCTCTCTCCTGCCCGTCCCCAGGAGAGTCTCCCAGTGACCACTGCCCTTCCCTTCAGTGGGGTGCTGCCTGTGCTCGCCCCTCCTTACCGTGTCCTGTACCTCCACAGCGATCCCGCACTCCCGCATCTGCTTCAGCATGCCAGAGTGGAGCCGCTCCACCCTGTCCCCCGTGCCCAGCACCAGGATCTCTGCAACCGGGACACGACAAGGGTGGGCAGGGTGGCACTGGGGCTGCCTCGACACAGAGTTGCCCTCCCTGCAAGGACCACCAGCCCTGACAGGAGCCCAGAGAGGGGG